TGTGTGATTCTGTGATTCTGTGAAAACACCTGCATAATCACTTAGAGAAGTTTTCTGTTTAACAGAAGACTAACCTAAAGCAGAAATAAGACTTCTTTCTAAAAATTTAACAGATCAGGGAATTGGTTTAAATTAAAGTTAAAATCTGGACGACTACAGAAACCACTCAATATTTTGAATCTTCATCGAGCAGTCCACTTGTTTGTGTTGAAGCTATTGCCACATACCACATTTTGTGGTATTAATAATTATTACTAATTCATAATAATTGTGCACTTATTATATACACTTAGTATACACTTATTAATAATCTACACTTTCTCTTCTGCAGTGCCATCCCCTCTACTGATACAGTTGATAATCTTATCTGAAAAGGGCACGTGGCCATTAGAGCTGGCCTTGGCTTTTGTTATAAAAGTTTCTATGTGTATTCAGCTGAAGATGAAATTTAGTGGAAGTTTACCATGCCAGGCTATTCAGTGATGCTCAGTGACAGGACAAGGGGCAGTGGGTGCAAGCTGGAGCTTAGGAGGTTCAATCTGAACATGAGGAAAACCTTTTTTACTGTAAGGGTGACAGAGCACTGGACCAGGCTGCCCAGAGAGGTTGTGGAGTCTCCTTCTCTGGAGACATTCAAAACCACCTGGATGCGTTCCTGTGTGACCTGGTCTGGGTGATCCTGCTCTGGCAGGGGGATTGGACTGGATGATCTTCAGAGATCCTTTCCAGCTCCTAACATTCTGTGAAATTACTAGATAGATCCTAACAGCTACTAACTTACTTTGCGTTTGGGGGGTGTTTACTTGGTTTTGTGTGTTTTCTAGTACACAGAATGAATGTCATGGAACACTGACTTAACTGTGCCACCAAGGGTCCAAAAATATTGTGAAGATATATGAATGAATCATAAGAAAATAGTAAAAATTATGTACTTACTACTCTGAATTTGTGTGCTCTGGGCTGAGAACAGCTTATTCGTGCTCCAGGATAAATGCTGAGACAGGCTACAAGCATGCACACAATCAGTTACTGTATGTTAACTGACATTCTGTAAATTCACTCCAGAGCTTAGCTCATAGTAACTTGTTTATGTTCAGATACCTTAAAAGCCATCATCGAAGCCAATGAAAACAGTACAGTTCTTCAGAGACAACATTCAGCTGTGTAATTTGCTGGCTTCCAGCAATATCACACATAGGAGCCTGAATGCTCTCCTTGCTGCAGGTGTGTTCCTCTAGCATCCTTAACCAGACCTTTTTGAGAGATGCCTGGGGAAAACCTTAAAACCTATTCAGGAAAAAAAGCTGAGATTTAATCCTAAATAGCTGAAATAAATTTCTTATCTCAGATTTAATGTTTTTCCTTTTAATTTCTGGGAAGAGTGTAGATTTCTGCATGTTGTACATGCTTTTTCTTGTGTGTTTTATTTCATTAATGTAAAATTTATTTTGTAATATAAACATTACTATTGTTTCCCTTTAGAATATCTAATTTTTTTTTAAATATTTGAGTATATTACTTGTTGCATTTGTAAAAAAATACTTAAAATACTGAAGGTAATGCTGTGCTGGCATGATCAGTGCTGTTGCTTTTCCAGTCTGGAGCTGCACTCAAATAGCTGTTATCACTGTCACTTTACCAGTACACTTTTTGAAAGCCAAGGCATTTCAACCTGCCTTATTATCTTCCAAACATATTAATATATCTAGCTTTTAATTAACACTAAAGGGATTGTATATATCTGAAAGGCTAAATCCAGGACAACTATTTTATTGGAGCAATGAAATTAAGTTTTGTAATTGTAAAAATAATTTCGTATCTGCATGCCAATAGATGCCAGTAATAGATGTTTATACTGAAATCCAGTCTATCAAGAAGCAAAAGAAGGAAGGAGAGCTTAGCCTATTTTTACTTAGTTACTCAGAACGAGGTATTTAATGTTTACAGCATCATGTAGGTCACAGGTAAGTCTCCAGGAGTTTGCTGAGAAACTTAAGACTGTAACAGCAGAGCATCCTATTCTGTAGCCAGGTGTACAGGAGTAGATGTTACGTATGTTTTCTGAAGGGTAAAGGCAAGACCTGGATTTACTTTCTTAGAACTTTCTATGAAGACTTCTAAAAATATATATATATTGTGTATCAACCATGTAAATACCTTAAAACAGTTTGATCAATAAAATAGTCTGGATCTTTTTTTTTTTTTGTAAAAGATCTTCTTTATTCGATACAAAAAGTTACAGTTAATTCTTAAAATGGTGGTGGTATATTTTCATACATCAAACAAGGAACTAAAAAAGTTAATGAACTTGGTTTTGTTATTTATATTCTAAAAAGACTATTACAAAAAGCCTCTGCAATGTGCAAAAAAAGGCTAGACAAATACTACAAATGCAAGTTTGGTGCCGTTCAGTCGAATACTTGCATTCAACTCTATAAATTCTGAAGAAAATTGTAAAAAAATGTAAAAATAGGCAGAGATTATAAAAAGGGAGGGAAAGTTATTTTGGCAGTTCTTCAATGATGATTCGGGAGACTGAATTCCATCCAGTAGAAGCGTCTCCCCGTGGATAATCTGAGCAAGTCCCGACCCAGATGGCAATATCCACCAAGCCAGCATTGATGCCTTCACACAGCCCTTCCACTGATTAAAGACAAAAATCAGGTTACCTCGACAGACACCATCACTTTGTATTTCACAACTGAAGGTGCACACAAGTACTTAGGAACAGCAGTTCACTGCAAGCTCATGCTGTTTAGTTAAACCTGAATAGCGTTTTTAGGGAAAAAAAAAAGTAACCTATTACTTAGAGATGTGGCAGCATAGGTTACCGCCTTTATCCTCCACGCTGCTTCCTGACATCTGTTACAGTACCTGCAGCAGATCATAATCCACAGGATGGCTAAATGGGACGTATACCTGCTTCTTTAAATGTCCAGATCTACAAATTGGGAGCTGGGATATGGCTTCAATCCCATCCAGCCATCTTGTTAGCAGTGACAGGGAGGGAGGACAGGAACACAGCCACGTCTGGCTCCCACAGCTAAGCCCTGCAAAAGTTCATTGCCACCCTCTTAATCTTTTCCACTCCTAATTCACTGCTTCTACATCAAAGTTCACTTTTATTGGCCTTTTTATTCCTCCACTAGCACCGTAAGTTTGAGGTGGGTTAATGAAGGCAGGTGGGTCCTACCCTTGATGAAAAAAACCTGTCATAGCTCTAGACGTCACATTTCATGCAGTCATGAAATAGTATAGGGAGAAAAACGGCCTTTTGCAAAGAGCTGGGCTGCTGGCATCACAGGGCTTCAGCTCTGTTCAAAACTGAGACCAAAATGCAGCTTAAGCTACTGATGTAATGTGGAGAGTATTCATAGCCAGAAGCCTGTTAAATTAATGCAACCCTTTTGGTTTCAGAAATACTTCTCAGGGTGTAAGTATCAACCATCAGAAAGGAGACAGAGTATGGACTTGACGTTAGCCCCTTTCCTAGTATCACCTCCTTGGAATGGCTTCCCTAATGTGCCTTTTGCTCAGCAATTGAATAGCTGTTCCTAGCTATTTCACTTTGGAGATACTTTTGTGCCCCACCTGAAAATTACAGTAGAAATTCCAGGAGGAGAAAGTCTCACTTTATGCACAGATAATGCACAGATATCAGTATCTTATGCCTTGATGACACTGTCTACTTGGCAGTAAGGCAGTTTCTCCCTGTGCTAACACAGCGCAGAGCGTCTCTGTACTTATGCTGTAGCAGAGATCAGTAGAACTGTCTGGATAGAAATCTCTCCCATTCCTACATTTCAGGACTTAACGTACCATGAAAAAATACCACAGTAATAAAGTACCACTTCATAAATAATTCTAATTATGTTCTTATTCTAATACTGTTGTTATTAATAGTCAACTGTGAGACAGCAGAGTAAGAGTAACAAGTGTCAGCTGGTCCCTCTGCTGCCTCTTCTTCCAGTCTTTGGGCTTTCTATGGCAGGCTGTAGAAACTAGATTTGATACTGTCTTCTACTCCATCTCTGTTCATGTGGTCCTGGCATACATACCTGAGGAAGTTCGGTGTATGTTAATAGTAGAATTCAGCTCTGGGCTTCCTTGATCTAAATATATTATGGCTTCAATAGGAAGTGGCCCAGCACATTCTGCTCCATTAAAAGTAAAGTACCAGCGCTGACAACAAGCATTTTTGCATTTTAGCCGAAGCGATCCACTGAAAAGAACGCGGAGAGCACTGTTCGAACGCATCTTTGTAAATGTACATTCCTAAGAGGAGAAAAAAATGTTTTGGAAATATTTTCAGAATGTTTTGGTTAGTCTTTTTAGTCCCTTCCCTCAAAAAAAAAAATACTTAAACTCTGATAAAAGCTCCACAACTGAACAAGAATAATTTTCAGGTTTTTAAGAGGTTGTTATTCTGTCTTCAGAATGCTGGATATTGTGGGGGAAAAAAAGCTAGAGACAGTTCTGCAAGTCCAAGGCAGTGAGAAATGTCTACTCAAAAGGATTCAATTCTCACACTGGCTGTTCAGCAACTGCAGGTAAATTGCTCCAACCAATCTGGCCATTGCTTCATAACTGGGATTGAGCTGCAATTTCTTCCCTTTTCTAGGCTTGCACCACTGTGTTTGAAAGTTTTATATCCAGGGCTGCAGAGGAGGATGGGCTGTTTGGGTCAGTCTGGGTAAAACTTGGTAACTGCTTCTGAACAATGCTGATCTTTTCCGCAGTAGCGTCCTGCAACTGAGCTGCAGGGAACGACGATTTTGAAGCAGGAGTTAAGATGGGTACAATTAAAGATCTGCATCACTCCTGCCTTATGATTGAAACAGTAAAAACCCTGCCCTACTTTGATCCTTCCCCTGTACTCAGCACTGGTGAGGCTGCACCTCCAATACTGTGTTCAGTTTTGGGCCCCTCACTACAAGGACATTAAGGCATTGGAGTGTGTCCACAGAAGGGCAACAAGGCTGGCAAAGGGTCTGGAGAACAAGAATTATGAGGAGTGGCTGAGGGAGCTGGAGTTGTTTAGTTTGGAGAAAAGGAGACTGAGGGGAGACCTTATCACGCTCTACAACTACCTGAAAGGAGGTTGTAGAGAGGGGGGTGTTGGTCTCTGCCATGTAACTAGTGATAGGACAAGAGGTAATGGCCTCAAGTTGCACCAAGGGAGGTTTAGATTGGATATTAGGAAAATTGGAACAGGCTGCCCAAGGAGGTGGTAGAGTCATCAGCCCTGGAGATGTTTAAGAAACACATGGATATGGCACTTCAGGACATGGTTTAGTGGGCATGGTGGTGGTTGACAGTTGGACTCAATGATCTTAGAGGTCTCTTCCAACCTTGATGATTCTGTGATTCTGTGGGCAAGCTGGAGGTCCATTTTTGGTAGCATGACTTTACAGTTACAGATCTGGTCCTCTCAATGTATTCCTACACCAGCCACATCGTTCTTTTGAAACACTATTACAGAAGTGAAATGGGCACATGGCTGTGAATTCAAGGTAGCTAAACCTTTGAGAAGTTCACCCTCACATGTAGAAAAAAGCTCCAACACGGGATCTGTACGACTGGTGCTACCCAGCTTATAGAGGCAGATCTAGAGCCTGCTGTGGTTGAAGTGCAGCACCCTGGGAAAGTGAACTTACCGCTATCTTCCCAAGATCGATGCCGTAATTCAGTGCACTCCACGAACACTGCTTGAAGTTGGGCGTCCAGGATTCCTCGATGCTCTCGCGCATGCACTCGCCCTTCTCTCCCTTCAGCCCGTCCCGTCCCGGGATCCCAGGCGTCCCGGGGATCCCGTTGGCTCCTGGGTTCCCATCCCGTCCAGGAACGCCACTGGGGCCTTGCAAGCACATGCCGTTGTACTGAAACACAGAACAGACCTTGCTGATTCCGTGCATTAACTCCAAGGCTAAACAAGTTAAACACAAAAACCCAACACCACGTAAAACCCCACTGTGACACAGGCTAATGGGCTATTTCGGGATCACCAAGAAAATGGTTCAATAAAGGAAAAAACAAAACCAAAAAATTTTCAAAGATAAGCAGTGCCAGCAGAATTTGCTGTAAATTAAGATGCCATTTATTATAGGAAAAGGCATAAATCCTAGAATTAAAAATTGGCCCAGTCCAAAGATTAAAATCTGTAGGAAAACCTCAAGATTCAAAACATTCCAATACAGAAACAAACAAACAAAAAAGTTATGTTAGTATAACATATGTTAGTATATGTTAGTATATATACTATATGTTATATATATGTTAGTAGTTACTTTCTCCTGACTCACTGTTGCTTGTAGAACTGTCTCAACTAATTCACTTTCATTATTGGTTTCTCCTTTTTTTTTTTTTAAGTAGAGAAAGTTTTGCATTTCATGGAGAGCAGAGGTTGACACCAGTTTTCTTCTGCCACCTTTTCTCCAGTACAGAATCATGTACAGACTCCAGCGCACACACAACCGTGTCTGTGTTGATGTGGACGAAGGAACCTGCACCCTGGAATAATCCTGAACTCTGGATCCCTGTTGGTTGCAATGGGAACGCACATCTGGGACACCAACCTCCTCCTTAACATCACAACATTAGGAAAGGTCAAATGTTGCCCTCCCAAACTGCACATTGCATTCATAGCTTATGAGATTTGGTTTTGCCCTCCTTGGAGAGGAGGTTTGTGCAACCCAGAGCTCCTTCTCCCAGCAGGATGAGTGCTGGATGCAGTGGGGGAGCACCCCTGTGTGGAGCCAGTGGAGCAGGCAGGGAAACGTTGAGCAGGAACCTGCAGGGCTGGTGACAGCAGGGCTTCAGCTCGAAATGCTCTTTCCCATCTGGTGACTGGCTGCTTCCTCCAGTCTTCATCCCAAATCATCACAGGTAACTATATTCTGCTCTACCATTTTCTCACACCTGTTTCACTTCATCCATTTTAAACCACCTAATCTCCATATGTTCCAAAATAGAAACGATCATGCCATGCCGCTATTCATCTGCACTGCAGAAGCTGTAAACCACAGCCCCTGTCCTCTCTCCTTTGTCAGACTGGTGAACTTTCCTCTTCTGTGGTTGTTCCTTTTTCTGTGCTTTGGTGCAAAAACCAGCATGGGTTATCACAGGCTTGGCTGAAGCCACTCTATAAATAAAATCAGTGCCTATATGAAGAGGTCTAGCAAGAAGTAAGATGAGAGTTGGACTGATGGACGCTGGCATTCCCTTACTACCTTCACCAAAGAGAACATTGTTGGCAAACAGCAGTGAAAATAGTGGGATGTTATAATCAAGAAGGCCATGTTTAAAAACAGTTAGCTGGATAGAAGGCTGCTTGGCAAAGCACGCACTGACCTTGGGACCACGAGAATGATGCAGACATTTCTGTTTCGCACAGCACCAGTTATCTGCATTTGCTGCTATTTTCCCACTGGACTCTATTTGTAACAGTGCCTGGCTCTGGTTTTACATTTGGTTACTCACCACAGAAATCTGAGAACATGGAAACTGGGGAGAGCTTGGGCCTGTGGAGGCTCAGACCCACTGCACTCCGCCCCATCCCCAGGGCACCAGTGGACATGGGACTGCCCAGAGGTGCCACCACTGCCACCTGGAGCAGCACAGCTCCCTTCCAGAGAACACAGCTTATCCACTGCACACTCAAAAAACCTGATGTGAGCAAAAGAATTACCTGGGCTCTGGGTTCCGCTCCCACTGAATTCATCTACACTTGCCAAATCAAGCCTTTTTCATGCTTTTTAAAGCACAAAACATCTTTTAAAATAAACATGTCTGCTGCAGGCAGAATCTCCTTGAGCATGCCATGCTTTTGCCCTGGAAGGGCTTTAGCTGAGGCTGGCTGTACGGCCAGGCTCTGCCTGACTCACCTGATACCTCTTTACCTGTGCTTTGCTGCCCACTCTGCTGCATCCAAAAGCACAGACAACTGCAAGAGAAATGCCTTGCACAAGGGATCCTAAAATATTGCTCCAACAGAAAATGTAAGCTCCTCTGTGTATGCAGACTCCTTATTCTCAATATAATTCAATTTCCACAGTAAAAAGTGAAAGGGTGATGAGGTGGTGTGAAAGGGGAAGGACCTTTGCCACCCAGGATGCTTCCAGCACATCACTTCGGGGATCTCTCTGGTGACCATGGAAGAAACGGCCATGCCACTGATTTTCTGTAGGAGGGGAACAGCAGTCCAGCAGCTCACAGAAATAGCTTCACATCTGCTTTCTGCATTCCAAGGACTGGAAAATCTCTCTCCTCCTCTCTCTGAGATAGGATAGTCCCAACACATTCTGGTTTCTAGTTGCTAACTAGGATCTGCAGTCCCAAGTGCCAAAGGGAATGATGTATTAATGCGACTCTGAGGAAAAGCAAGCGTGCATATACAGTTTTCATGGCTGCTAAAGAGCAGTCCTTTTATTTATCTTTTTTTTTTGTAGTTTATTATTTATTAACCAGCCTTTTAGGAACTAAAAGTCTTTTACCACGTATGTCGCCCCTGCGCTGTGCGGGGGGCACGGGCCAGCTCACAGAGCTGCCTTTATTCCCGCCGCGATGCCCCCCTCCCGGCTCGGGGACCGGCAGCGGGGGCGTCTC